GGCAGAGAACATGGCTTTGTTCACACAGTGTATCTGTTTGGCATGAGATTAGATTTCTCACATCACAATTCCTATAAGGCAGTATGGAATCTGTAACATATATGAACATTTCCGGATTTGTATAACACAGATAGAAATACCTTTTTCTCCGTGATATTTTAACTTTGCAATCCCATCTTCAGTGGCCGTTCATATGATGCAATGGCTTAAACACTGGCTGCCGAGGGCTATCTGGTGAAATGCCCAATAGAGATTCCTAGAAATGGTCAGAACTACTTAGAAATCATCCCTGGGGGGAGAGACTATAGCTTCTATAAAACACTCTCATGCTTGAAAGGATGCTGGCTGTCTTCATCATCAATGCCTTATTTTGGGAATGACCTTTCATGGCAGGACAGTCTGTCCCCAGCTTCTGTTTCACTTGCACGTCATAGCCCCTTAGAATCACCCAGTGGTGGCAGTAGTGACTCTGCCCACCTTGATACTTTTTTTTCTATGTATTTTTTAAAGCTCTGATTCCTAAAGAACTGTATCTACAGAGCTGCTTCTAGCAATGACTCTTGTCATCTGAAGCCGTATTGCGCTTTGGCCAAATGTCATGTCCTTCCTTCTCAACACAGTCAAGATGTTCATTTACTTCTAAATTAATATCTATTTTCTAATGGTAGTAAAAAAAACTAACATGTTTTCTGCGGGCTGACAAGATGTCTCAGTGGGTAAGGATACTTGCCACCAAGCCTCAAGACCTGGCTTCAATCCTCAGAATCCACATAGTGAAAAGAGAGAACTGATTCAGTGAGCTGTCCTCTGACAACCCCCCATGCACACATATACACACACAACACATTCATACAATACATATACACACAGAGAGAGAGAGAAGCAAGCACACACATATATAGTAAATTAGTTTAAAAACACAAATGTATAGAGAGGAAATTTTAAAAAATCTTTGACCATACTACTCTTTAGAAATATTTACTATTAACTCCATATATTTTTCTGTTTTTAATGTGTGAGTATGAACTTGTTTTGATAAGCTTGCCCTACAGTGTATGTAAATAAAATATGTGGAGCTTCTTCTATATCATGATTTCCTGAGCATTCTTATGCGTTAATGTCATAGTTTATATTCCTTCATTATGGGTGGGCCACACTGATTGAACTCTCCACCTGTTGTTGGATACTTAACCTGCTTTTGTTTTTATTGTAAATGATGGGTACACTTACATCTCTATCATCTAATCCAGCAGTCTTCTTAGGATAAATTGCTTGAAGACTAATTGCAGAGTTAAAAGGTTTTATCATCTTTTTTTTTTCTTTTATGCGTTTTGTATGCCCTGCCAGATTGTCCTCTAGGAAAGGATTATCTATTTAAACCACCAGCACTTTAAGAGAACATCTTTGAGTATTCCCTCCAAATCCAAGTTATTTTTGGTAAAACTATTTTCACTGCATGAATAATATAAATATTACATAATCCTCTCTTACATTTTATTTCTATGCATGCTAAGAAGTTGACCTAAGTTGACACTAAAAAGTAGAGATGTGTGTTTTCTCCTTCTTTCCAATTATTTTGTAGATCTTTCTTTGGATTCTTTGTCCATATTTTTCCATTAAATTGCAGGGGCTGTATCCATGGAGGACAGAAGAGTTGAATCCCTTGGAGCTGGAGTTACAGATGGTTGTGATTGCCCATTGTTGGTGCTGAAATCAAACTTAGGTCCTCCAGAAAAAAGTACACCATCTCCTTAAATACCGAGACACCTCTCCAGCCCCAGGATATCCTGATTTATTTTTTGTTATTATTTTCTGTGTATGGGTATTTTGCCGGCATGTATTTCTGTATACCTAGTGGATGTCTGGTGCCTGATGGAGCAGGACCAGAAGAGGCATCACACCCCCTGGAAGTTATAGACAGTTGTGAGCTGCCATGTGGATTCTGGGAACTGAACTCAGGTACTCTGGGGTGGTTTTTGGAGACAGGGTTTCTCTGTGTAGGCTTGGTTGTCTTGGTCTCACTGTATAAACCAGGCTGGCCTCAAACACACAGAGATCTGCCTGCCATTGCCTCCCTGAGTGCTGGGATTAGAGGAGTGTGCCACCATGACTGGCTCTAATATCTCTCTTCTCCATTCCCATTTCTTCCTTCCTCATCCATGGACATGTGTAGGTTTCCTAATAGATGCAACAATGATTCTTTTGCTTATATGAGTTATAAAATATGCATTATTTTAAATATGCATTATATAATTTTACATAAGATATAGATACATAGATATAGATATATGCTTACCACAATATTACAAAGAAAATGGGAGATCTGGGAATTTCCTGTAACTGTAAACCCATATTCATTGCTCCACTCAGAAAGTCTAATGGCTTACAGGCATTTTGGGAGGCAAAGAAAAATATTTAGAAAATATTAGAAAGCTAGCAAAGCAAGCTCCCCAATAAAGACCAGCTTCCTGGGGGCTGCAGACACAAGCATTATTTAGGAACTTGTTGAAGGGACACATGGGAGGGTTACCCGGGTTAATTACGATTTATATATTAGTGGACATTTGGGGTTCTATAAGTCTAAAGAAAAGTTACCCAACAGAAAACCTCAACGTATATCTTTAAAGTTCCTTTCTCCAGGGATAATTAATTCGTCACTTAATTGATAGATATTTACGGTGAACCCAGGAAGCATGGAGGATGGCAAATGACACCTTTATCTGGAGGGCAAGAGAAAGGCAAATATGGGCAGGTAAGATTCTTATGCCACACTTCAGTCAGAAGAGTCTGCTGTGGCAAAGACAGTGAGAGACTAAAGTATGTACAATACGGCGGTGTCAGTTCTAAAATTAGTGAGTTTTTAAAAGTCAGTTAAAGGGAAGTGAAACTAGAGGGTTTTTCTTTCCTTGAGTTATCAAGGAACGTGGCCCAACGCAGTCACCAAAATACAAGATGTCTTTAATGTCTGTGAACCATAAGGCCCATTTTGTTGTTTAGTTATAATGATAACATTTTCCCAGCTCGTATCAGGGATAAAGCCAGATAATGGATAAAGTGGGTAAGAGCAGATTATAATACTATTGCAACGTGAACGTCTTGTAGCAAACTCAACTTCAATTTGCACAACGATGAGGATGTTTCAGAGAGACGGAAGGTCGTCGGGTTTGCCTGTGACTCACAAAGAAGTCAGGCTCTTCTTCCAGGTTTAAAACAACAGAACAATTTTGACCCCAAGTTGGGAGTTCCTCAGAGCGCAGGTACACGGAGCGATGGCTTGGTCAAGCCGGAACTACAACTCCCAGCAGCACCGGCGAGAACGCAGCTTCCGGGGAGCCCGCCCTCCTTGGACAAGAGGCGTCTATCAGTGCCATCTTCACCGGGTTCGAGCTGGTATTGGCCATTGGCGGCGGACTCAGAACCCGGATGAAAGGAAGGCCGTCACACAGAGAGCGGGAGGTGGAGGCTGTGGCCTCGGACGTGACGTACGTCATGTCCGCTGGGTGGGGCCTCGCGATCCCGCGCAAATTGAAAGGTCCTCGGCTGCGCTTGCAGCTGCAGCCGCCTGCTGCTGTTCTGCACCCCGGGTGAGTGAGCCCCGAAGCTGGCGGGGGGCGGTCTCAGGAGGGACGGGCTGTGTGGACGAGAGTGCGGTGCCCGCGGCCCCGATCCACGTGTCCTCTCTCCCTCGGCGCGGGACCCGGATCTCCTGGAAGAGAACGCGAGCGTGGAGCGCGCAGTGGACGCCGCGGGCAGCATCCTTGGCCGCCGGGTCTCGCATTTTCCGCAGAGGCGGGCCGACGAGTGTCCGTACGTCCACTCGAATCCAGTGATGAGTTTCCTTTGTGTGTTTCCTTTCCTATGCAGGTTTGAAGAACCACCTGGAATGGGCTCTCAGCTCCTGCCCTTTCATTCCCGGGAGACAGGACTACGGTGAAGCCGATGCTGCCGTTACCTCCGGTACCGTGGGCCATCTCCTGGGGTTGATGTGCCCGAATGGCGCTCAGTCACTCCTGTGCTAAAGAGGAATAGAAATACTTACTCGGGATTTACTTGGCCTAGAAGAAACTTACCGAAGTTTCACGAAATGTAGTTATGTCCGGTTTTCATTAGCATGCGTGAAAGCACGTTTTCGAGAGATTGCCTCTAATGGTAGCAGACTTACTGTTTTACACGTATTATGGGTGGAGGCCCCCCTGCATCTAAATTACCTGGTGGTTAAAATTCAGAAGGCAGTGCCCCCTCTAGGGAATCAGTAGTTACTGACTGTAGCCTGATCTATAGTCTTTTGGGGGATGGTTTCTTTGTGTAGGCTTAGCTGTCCTGGAACTAGCTCTGAAGACCCTGCTGGCCTCCCTAGAATGCTGGGATTAAAAGCCTACACCACCACCGCCCAGTTTGATTTTATGAATATGAATGGTAATCTGGGCATTTTGGCAAACATCTTTATTCCCAGCACTTGTGGAGGCAAAGGCAGGTGAATATTTGTGAGTTCAAGGCCAGCCTGGGCTACACAAAGAAACCCTAACTTGAAAAAAAAAAAAAAAAAGTACAGATATGTTTACATAATTCTTACTGCTTTTCAGTTGAAATATCTGTCTTTCTCCAAACTTTTTGAGGTTCTACACTGCAGCTTTGGACATGGCCCTTTAATGTAGGTAGCATGCACAGTTTTGTAGGCCGTGGTAGGGAAAGGAGAGACTCAAAGTTTAATGCCTTTTGTATGCCTACGACTGTTAAGAGATGAAAGATCGTGTTGGGATTCTAAGTATGGAAAAAATAACCAAGAAACTACGCAGCGGTGTTTCCGGTTAGTGTTGGTGATGGATGAAGTACTGAGCTACGGTACTTGGCAGGGAGAAAGCTGGTTGCTAGTCAAATACTAGTTTCTAGGCCAGACTCCACGCTGAGTTTATTTTCTAAATCATTTTGGTAAATAAGCTTTGCTTTAGTATTGCTGTTTTCCCCTTTTTCCTTTTGTATGCTGTAGTTAACTTGGCACTATGGGGATTCAAGGATTACTTCAGTTCATCAAAGAAGCTTCTGAACCCATCAATGTGAAAAAGTACAAAGGCCAGGCGGTAGCTGTGGATACCTACTGTTGGCTTCACAAAGGAGCTATTGCTTGTGCTGAGAAGCTAGCCAAAGGGGAACCTACAGATAAGTAAGTTTGGCATGTACTAGTTGAAGAAGTAGTTTGTTTTGAATATTTCAGAGTGGCCTGGAACTTATAGCCAAGGATGACCTTGGACCTCTGTTTCTTCTGCCGCCAGCTACCAAGTGTTGGGCTCACAAACATGTACCACCGAGGCCCAGTTTCATGTGATGTTAGGGACCTGTGCTATCCTTAACATGTCAGTGCTGTTTTTATCTTTGTCTTTCCCAGTCGTGTTTCAGTAAACACTAGCATTTATTAAGGGCGGGCACTTAGAGTGGTTCCAGACTTCCTTCTGTAGTACAGACCCGACCTGACGTCTGTTCTCTGGAAGAAGTCAGAGCAGCAGGGTATGGACAGGCGAAAGGCCAGTATTGTCTCCTTTACTCAAGAGAATGTTTTGGTTTTTTTTCGCTAAGATAAACTTTCTAACAGTGTTTTCAGAACTCATTGTGTTTCCCCACAGCACTGCTGGCCTCTGGTAGCAAAATGAGGCAAAGGGACAATATGTTCTGGCCAAAAATGTTGGTCCTGTCGGCATCCAGTCCGAACCCTGACCTTGTTTTAAGAAGGTTCACGTGTATTCTCATATAAAATGATGCTGTTTTTTGTCTCCTTCTCCCACCCCCATTTTTACACACACACACACACACACACACACACACACATATATATCTATAATTTGCCTTTTTAATATCTGAAAATAAAGGAGTATGTATCATTTTAGCTTTTCAAAAAGAAAAGCCCACACCTTTTTTTGTTACCACTTTCAGTGTTTGATTTTGTGTTTCTGCGTTCTGAGACAGTCTTATGTAGCTTAGGTGGGCCTCTGCCTTGCTTTGTCGCATAGGATTGCTCCCATCTCTGCTCCCCAAGTGCTTGCAGTGCTGCACCCTACAGCAGATGTCTTTTCCGTTGCTGTAATAAAACACCATGACCGAGGCAACTTGCTTTAGAGGGTTAGGGTCCTTGATCGTCATGGTGGGCGTGGTGCTAGAGCAGTAGCTAAGAGCTGTCTTCAAACACAAGCTTGAGGTTAGAGAGAGCTAACAGCATGGTGTGGAGTGGGCTTTTAGATCCTCAAAGCCTGCTGCCAACAAGGCCACACCTCCTAATCCTTCCCACACAGTTCTACCAGCTGGGGACCAAGCATTTTCATATATGATCCATGGGAGCCATTCTCATTGAGACCGCAACTGGCTTTCTTTGAGTAATTCCTTAACCAAGAAAATGTAGTTTGGGGGGCTGGAGAGATGGCTTAGCAGTTAAGAGCACTCACGGGCTGCTCTTCCAGAGGTTCTGAGTTCAGTTCCCAGCAACAACATGGTAGCTCGCCACCATCTGTAGCAGAATCTGATTCTCTTTTCTGGTGTGCATGAAAACAGAGTACTCATATACATAAAATAAATAATTTTTTTTTTAAAGAAATTTTAGTTTCTAGCTTAATACCTGCTATGGATTTAAACTTTCCCTTGACAACTTAAAAGTTATATTTGGTATAATTACTTGCTTTGCTTTTTCTTCCTGCCTGGGATAGCAGTATTAGCCAGAAAATGATCACCACTTTCGGCCTCTGGGGATAAGCTAATGATGAACAGTTGTCATTATAAAGAGTGACATCAACATATCAGCACGTGCTAATGTGGAAGTAAACCGAGAGGATGGTACTTGATTCTTTATGCCTCTGACAAACTTTCCTTAAGACTTCCTCGTGTGTGCTGTCCTCTGCTCTTTGATGTGTAATCAGGCTGTGGCCACTCTTTTCCCCGTGCAGCGCCCTCTTCACCGTCCACAGCAAGGACTAGAGCAAGTGGTCTCGGGTGTTAAACTTGATTTGAAAGGTCAGCATAAGTGCCATTAGATCCTGGATGTGGGCACAGGAACGGCACCGTCTGCTGGAGTTCTCCCTCGGGAGCTCAGGGTCTAGCATCCCTTCGCCTTATTCTGGCCGCAGGTTGGGAGAACTTACATATTGTGGTGGAATGTCGTGAAAATCACACCCCGAGCACCGTGGTGTTCAACATTAACCAGGATATCACTGGTCCCAAGGGACATGATTGGCACTGTTGGATGAAATTTCATGTAGCATTCGTCGCAGATAATACTATCAGATCTCATGGGTTTGATAAGGTATTGTGGGAGAAGTCAAGGATTTGTTGTACTCTTAAAACTTTTCGATAGATTTGAGATGTTTCAAATCAATTTTTTTAATGGAAGAATTAAAGATATATGGAACAACAATAAAATGAGAATCGAAGGGCGTCAAAGCCTTTTACTCTACGGTAGTAAAATTTGGCCCAAGAGTCAAATGATTTTCTGGCTACCATGTGTTCCCTAGTGCCCACAGCAGGATTTGAACCCATCTAACTCTCTGCTTCCTTTGGAAAGTTTAGTCTCAAAAACCGAAATCCCTCTTCACAGTCATTTCATCTGGTCCTAAGTAAAGCAAAACACTCCCACTACTACTAATAATAATAAGATGTAAGAGATTCAAAGCCTGTCAATGTGTTTTCTTTCTCCCTCCCAAAGGTATGTAGGATTCTGTATGAAGTTTGTTAATATGCTGCTGTCTTACGGGGTCAAGCCCATTCTTGTATTTGATGGATGTACTTTGCCCTCTAAAAAGGAAGTGGAGCGATCTCGAAGAGAGTAAGTTGACTCCATACTTACCATCTGGCTGAACTGTGCTAAGGCCAGATGCTGTAGGCCCCGGGATACCAAATGTCCGAAATCTTGATGCTGTGCGCAGCGTAGTACATGAACAGGTCCCCTTAAATGTTCTGTTTGTGTTACAGTGTCCTCGCACTTAAAAGTAATTGTCTTTTGGCATGAAGCATTGCTGTGGCATGGTCTTTCTGTCAGTTGTGTTGCACCGTTGGCATGCATTATTAATCACCTGCTCAGCTGGTGCTGAGCTTGGAATCCCCGTACTTGGGAAGTAGAGGCAGAAGAGTCAGGGGTTCTAAGTCATCTTCTACTTAGTGAATGTGAGGCTAGCTTGAGCTGTGTGAGACCTAGTCTCCAATGAATGAATGAATGAATGAATATATGACCTCATTTGCTCTTATCTGGGCTGATATGCCAGAAGATCCAAAGTGCATTTTTAAATGAATTAAACTTTTTCATTCTTGCAGCCTTATTATCGTTTCTTAATTTTGCCTATAGCTGTTTCTCTATATTTAGCCATGTTTTTCTTCCTTTCAGGAGACGACAAAGCAACCTTCTTAAAGGGAAGCAGCTTCTTCGTGAGGGGAAAGTGTCAGAAGCCCGGGAATGCTTCACCCGCTCTGTCAACATTACACACGCCATGGCCCACAAAGTAATAAAAGTGAGTTAGTAAGAAACAACAAGAACAAATGGCTGAGCTCACCTGAGCTTGCCGTAAGTTGTTCTCAAGTAAAGGGCAGGTGTCAGAAAGAGGACAGTAGTCTGGGGTGATCGGTGACACTTCCTCTGAGTCCTTGCGTGCGTGCGCTGAGTTGGGGTGTTGTGTGCAGAGAGGCAAGGGACAACTTCCCATGGGCCATGTCTGCCACCACTGTGGCCTAATCTGTGTTCAACCATCAACTCACCTTTGTTACGTGAATGATGAGTTGTGTTTTAAGTTACTCACTGATTGAGGGGCTCTGCAGGACCCCTGTAATCTGCCTTGCTGAGAAGCTTCTTAGAGTGCCTCACCCGGAACTTAGTCCCAGACCCCACTTTCTTCATTCTAGGTTTGTACTGAAACTGCTTCTTGAAGTTAGGATAAAGGTAGGGTCAGCTCTGTGCTGTGCTGTCCTGCTGCCTGGTTCTGAGCTTACCAAAAAAAAAAAAAAAAAAAAGTACCCCAAGGCTTATCCTGTGGTTCTTAATCATGTGGACGTGTCTTGACTGCTGGTGGCTTGAGTTGGAAAACAAGGGTGGATATAGGAAAGAGAAACCTTGGCTGGACACAAGTAGTGGTGCCACAGGGACAGTTGGTAGGCAAGAGAGAAAGAGAAAGGCAGCAGGATATATGCCCTGACGTAGCTGCAGCAGTGAGGGGCTAGGATTTATCGGTATGGTGTTGGACAGGCTTGTCTCCTGACAGGACGGCCTGCAGTTTTCACAGGGAAAAGTGAGTGGACAGGTCCAAACAACTCTCTTGTTTCCTTTCAAATTGAGGTTTGTTTGTTGTTTTTTTTTTTTTTTAAGATCTGTGGGGGTGGGGGTGTGAGCGCAGGCGTGCACAGAGAGCATGGGAAGGTCAAAGGACAATGTTGACAGTCCTCCCTCCCTCATCTCATTTGAGGCGAGGTCTCTTACTTATTTATCAGTGTTTATCCATGGTAGCTACCCTGCTGGCCTCCAAGGACTTTCCTTTCTCACCTTACATTTTGCTGTAGTAGTGCTGGAATTTCATGTAGGCATGGAATTACACGTACTCCACTTTTTCCTGGGTTCTAGGATCGGAACTAAGGTCTTCAGAATTTTGTGCCAAGCGAGTGTCACCCAAGGCTGTGAGTTGACTAAAACAAGATAGTACTTCTGAGATCAGTGTAAAATATATTACAACTAAAATAGAAAGGTTCTACTTGGGAGGACATGGTTTTTGGAAAGCACTATTAGCCTGTGAGTGGAGGCTGGTAATGCTGTTCAGTGCTGTTCTGGTGCCGGGCTGCTGGTCACTGTGGTCTCTCACAGGCTGCTCGGGCTCTGGGAGTGGACTGCCTTGTGGCTCCGTATGAAGCTGATGCTCAGTTGGCCTACCTTAACAAAGCTGGTGTCGTGCAAGCTGTCATCACAGAGGACTCTGACCTCCTTGCGTTCGGCTGTAAGAAGGTATTGAACCGCAGTCACTAGGCATGCTGCTGTGGGGGGGAGAGTCACAGGTGCTGAGCCAAACACTTCCTCGCCTGGAGTGCCTGTTTATGCTTTAATATCTGTGATTGATGGCTCTCAGAGTGTTCATTTCTGGTTTTGCTAGTTGATACTTCAGGATCTGTGCTCTCCTTCAGGTTTAGCTTGCTGTTTGGGATCCAAGCTGTGCTGCGGATCAAACCCAGGGCTTTATGCATGCTAGGCAGGTGTCTGCCACTAAGCCACATCCCAGCCTGTGGAGTCTTTATGTATAGCCTGTGGAGTCTTTATGTGTAGCCTGTGTTTGTTTGACTGTGTATGTGGTCCTGGTTTAACCTCTGACTGGCAGACAAGCACCTCTGGGTGAGCTACATCCTCTGTACTCTGACTGGGCCTCGCTAAGCTGCCCAGCCTGGGCTTGGACTCATGCTATAGCCTGGCAGTCTTTGAACTTGAGCTCCTCTCCTTCCTCTCCAGTCTGTGCTACCAGGTCCCACTAGGTTTTCTTTTTAGTATTAATAGCACCTGGATTATGTTTTTTTATTTTTTTTATTTAGAAATAATGTGTAAACAGATTTAAATTATAATGATCTATTATAGGGGAAGTAAGATATAAAACCATAGGTGGTTCTTAACATATACACATCTTCATAGATTGCTTGCAGGATGCTCATCAGAATGTGAATACTGGGTGACCAATAAGTGGGGTGTGGATAATTTCAGGTTTTTAAATTTTCCCATAGATCCATATTTCCTGCAATGTGCCTATATTGCCTCAATACCAATAATAAAAGCTTGGCCATGTTAGAATGTAAAGGAAGGTCAGAGAAATACTTGTATTGTGGTGTTGCAGTGCAGAGCAAGAACAGTTCCATGGAATTCTTGGTATGGAGGACGGTGATAAAGTGGCCTTTCTAGGTACTGACCATTTCTCGTCTGTGAAGGTGATTTTAAAAATGGATCAGTTTGGAAATGGATTGGAAGTGGACCAGGCAAGGCTGGGAATGTGCAAGCAGCTTGGGGATGTGTTCACGGAGGAGAAGTTCCGGTACATGTGTATCCTGTCGGGCTGTGACTACCTCGCCTCTCTACGTGGGATTGGCTTAGCGAAGGCCTGCAAGGTCCTGAGACTGGCCAATAACCCAGATATTGTGAAGGTAGGAGAGACCTTTGCTTTATGAAAAAGCAATTAAATAACAGGACTACAAAATGGGTTTGAAGTATTATATCTACAGCCTGTAGCGTTACTAAAAGGGGGAAAGGTGACTGAACATGAGACGTTGACTCCTGGATCCTAGCGCTTGCGCATGGGTCTCGGGATTTCTAGTCTAATGATCTTTATACTCTGAAAAGTTTTGTGTGGGAAAAATTTTTTGTTTATATAGATTAGAGCTATCAACACACTGAATCAGAAATTTAAACAAAAATTTGAATATTCATGTAAGCTAAACAAAAAGCTCTTAATATGTTAACAGAAATCACAAAGCCAGCACTCTTACCCTCTCCTGTACCATCTTTATCCCTCCTCCTTAAAAGTTTTTTGAGACAAGGTTTTGTGAATACCAGGCTGCCCTTGAATTTGCTATGTAGCTACGGATAGCCTTATTCTCAGACTTAGTTCTCAGACTTATTGTTTGTTTGTTGCTGGGTTGAAAGGACTATTTCTAGAAGTACTTGACATAGCTGGCTATTTGGCACTTTGCATGAACAGTGCTCAACCAAAGCTGGCTATGAGAGCAGAGTTTGGAACCACAGCGGCATGCTGTGGTTTCTGTTAGAAATTTTCTTAGTGGAGAGAAAAGCAGTTGATTTCACCTTTCACTTTCCAGGGTCAGGTGTGGGATCAGTAAACTCCTCCACTCCCTGTCTTCAGCTTTACATGAAATATTTTTATATCCATTGTTAGGTTATCAAGAAAATCGGGCATTACCTTAAGATGAATATAACGGTGCCTGAGGATTACATCACAGGATTTATTCGAGCCAACAACACTTTCCTCTACCAGTTAGTGTTTGACCCCATCCAAAGGAAGCTGATCCCACTGAATGCCTACAGAGATGACGTCAATCCAGAAACCCTGACTTATGCTGGGCAGTATCCTTTCTGGGCCATGTGGTTGAATTTTCCACTTACTCTGTAAACGTTATTGGTAGTAGTACATTTTTTTGTTTATTTGTTTTTCTTTTTTCAGATCTCTGTGTTGTGTATACAATGTTTTGCCTGTATGTGTGCCTGCAGGCCAGAAGAGGGCACCAGCTCTCATAGATGGTTATGAGCCACCATGTGGTTACTGAGAATTCAACTCTGGAACCTCTGGAAGAGCAGACAGTGCTCTTAACCTCTGAGCCATCTTCTCCAGCCCCATAGTACAGTATTTTTAGTGAGACAAAAACGTGGAGATTGATTTTATTTTCTGTGGTGCAGATTGTCATATTTCTCTAATCTTCAAAAAAAAATCATGCTAGTGAAAGTTAGGTGTTGGAGCTTAAACCTGAGGCTTATCTGTATATTAAGTGGTTGCTCCAGTGAGGTCGACAGAATCGGCTACAGACCGTGTGCTCTGTCTGAGCCAGCAGCCAGCGCATCAGAAGTGTCAACCTGAGGGCTGCCCAGGCAAGCCTGATTCCTCAGGAGGATTTCTAGTACATCAGGGCAGGGTGCCCCTTCCATGGCCACTGGTCACCAATACTCAGGCAGCTGTAGAATTCTGAGTCACTTAGGTAGTGGCCGGAACTTTCCCCATATCTCTCTGGAAGGGAGGAATTGACTTGTGCTTCCCTTCAAGAAGACGGGCAGCTCCTGCAGGGACACGGGCCAGCAACCTTGCCTGTTGTCTCACTGATGCTGATGTGAGTATTAAGTGGGTATGAATGTCATAAATCTTGACAATTCTCTGTGTCAATACAGCATTCTCATATCTTAGTGCAGTGTGATTCTGTTGCTTGTTATAAGGACATTTTTCCTTAATCTTACCAACCTAGGTATGTTGATGATTCCATAGCTCTTCAAATAGCACTTGGAAATAGAGATATAAATACTTTCGAGCAGATTGATGACTACAGTCCAGACACTATGGTAACATTTAACAACTCTTATATAAAAGCACACTTTAGTTTTGTCTCAAAAACTTTGAGGCAAGTCTTACTTTGCTCAGCAGCTATGAAGTATTTCTGTACTCAGCACTATATAGAATATACATGGAAAACAACTTGACCTGGTGTGGCAGATGTCTGTAATCCCAAGACTTGGGACCCTGAGACAGGAGAATTACCACAAGTTCAAGGCTAGCCTGAACTATATAGTGAGATCTTGTCTTTTTTGTTTTAAGACAGAGTTTCACTGTGAAGGACCAATTTTCCGTGTCTAAACTTTTTGATCTTAGCTGCCTTTGTCTACTGGAGTATCATTGCCAATGTTTTAGCTGGCCAGAGTCCTCTGTAATGGTTAATGGTAAACCCACTATTGAAACTGTTATCTCACGGATGTTAACTGGCTTAAACTGTTTCTCGGAAGTTTTCTCCAAGACTCAGTATATGCCAAAGCAACTTTCTCTCTCAGTGTGGTAGCAAGTGAGGCTAATACAAGCTACTCCTTTTTAACCTCGATTGTTTTGGTTTGGACTCAACAAATTTCTATCCAGGCTTGGGAGCTCATGGTTCTAATCCCAGCACATGGGAGGCGGAGGCAGGAAGATCAGTCCACCTAGCCTAGACTACAGCAGACCCTGTCTCAAACAAATAATTAAAAAACGGATTTCTGTGTTAGCTGGGTGACTGCTTTGAGCAGGACCTTTGCGGTCGGTGCTGTCTGAAGGCTGTGGAATGATCACAAGCTACGGGACTGTTGCTGGGGTGGTGCTCGGGTTTTAAGACACTCTTTCACGACCTCGGTTTGTTGCCATGTAGGAAGATTTGGGTTTTCTCTCTTAGAAATGAGCCAGTGGGTAGCTTGACTCCTATTAGGAGACACACCTAGGAACATAAGACACATTTAACAGAGAAGGGTGAGATGCAGAAAACAGTAAAAAGGATGATTAGAGCCCAGACTTCATCAGAACCCTCACGCTCTCTCTTTCTTCCTTTTTTGCTGTCCCTCCAGGCCTCACACATGCTAGGCAAGACTCCATCTCTGAGTCCGTTTTAATCTGAAATAAAATGATCAGTGCTCAAAAAGTCCCCTAGACTGGGCCCTACTCACGATGTTGCCTAGGCAGCCTTTCAATTTTCAGTCCTCCTACCTCGGCCTCCGGAGTAGCTGGGCTTGCAGGACTGTATCCACAGGCCAGGCTCCAAAGCTCTTCTTTTGAGCAGTGACTAAACCTTACTGTAAGCAGACACGGAGGAAAATGGTCATTTCTCCTGTTCAAGTAACCTTTTTCTTTGTTCTTTTCTAGCCAGCCCACTCACGAAGCCGTAGCTGGAATGACGACGCATGTCAGAAATCAACTGTTACCAATAGCATTTGGCACAGGAATTATTGTCCCAGACTTGAGGTGAATGGTGTTTCCCACGTTCCTCAGTCGAAGGAAAATCCAAGTACTGTGGGCCTTAAACAAGTGATTAGTACTAAAGGGTTAAATCTTCCCAGGAAGTGTTCCATGGTGAAGAGACCAAGAAATGGTATGTGTTTCGTTTTTTTCAAATGCTAATAATTGTTGGTCAGATTTAAGAAACCTTTTCCAAGCCCAGGTCACTGCACTTTCCTTGATTTACCCTGTTAGTTTTGTACTCGTAGCTCTTATGTTTAGAGATGGTATAGATGGTAGACAGTAAGACTCCAGGCCCTTCGATTTGTGAATGGCAGTGCGGTTCTCTGTACTGTTGGCCTTGGAGTTTCCTTCTGTCCCGGTCTCTGCCTTGTACCTGTTGGGAATCCCTTACTTGGCAGCGCTTCCTGCCTGGGCGGCGCTCACTCTGCGCTCCTGTCCAGCCTGACCTTGGCAGCAGATGCGCTCCCAGGGACTGAAGTTCAGCACATCCAGTGTAAATCCCTGGCGTTGGTCCTGGGTTTTAAACGCTCTCTGGCTGTTTGCAGTTCTTCCTGGTTTTGTGTAATTCCTAGGATCCACTTGTTACCTGCTTTTAAAAAGAGGCTGTGGGGCTCAGCGGTGGTGGCACATACCTTTAATCTCAGCAACTGGGAGGCGGGCAAATCTGTGAGTTCAAGGCTAGCTGGGCTACAGAGCAAGTTCCAAGACAGCCAGGCCTGCACAGAGAAACACTGTCTTGGAAAAGAAAAGAAAAAGGCTCTGGGGTTTCCTCTTAATAGTAACTCTATTCACTGGAAACTTCAGAGATCTGTGATTTTTGTACAGATGTTTAGAATCAGCTGTCAAATTTACTCTTACGTCTTCAGATTTTTTTTTTTTTTATCCTTTTGAAAATGGTATTTCGGTTTCTAGTTAATGCCAGTGTATAGAAATACAACCCGTTTATTTGTATTTATTATTATTATATGAGTGGATGATGTATTTTTGTGTGCAGTTTTGCCACTATGCACCATTGTGCTCAGAGGACAGCTCTGTCTGTCTTTCCAGCTTTATATGGGCGCTGGGGCTTGAACTCAGGCTTGCACAGCAAACAGCTAGCCGCTGAGCCATTTCATCAGGCCAGTATAGTTGAATCTTCTGTGTTAATCCTGTAGTTTGAAACCCCCAAATACTGGACTAAGTTCAGTCCCTGTTGCCCTTCAGATACTCTGACAGCGCAGTTATGACCCAAGGAAGTTTTTCTTTGGGCGACAAGTGCCCCTTCTTTTGGGGTGTGCTTTGGGTGTAATGGAACTCCTCAGTTGTGCCGTGGCAGTGGACATGTCCCTGGGCGTGGGGTGCTGCTGCTGACGACAGTCGAGTGGGCCCTTCTGAAGCTGCTTCTACTAGTGCTGCAGAGTCGGACTGGGCACGCCTGCCAGCCTGCTTGTTATTTCTGTCACCGGCAGAGCTTAGGTTGAATTTCCCCAGTTGCTGCTAAAGTGCTGTGACGTTTCAAACTTGTGGTCGGTTGGTGAAACTGTGGCCCCTGTGCCTTGCACTGTGGGTTGTATTATCTTTGGCTATAAAATAGTTGAGTGAATTAGAGGAAGTACAGGAACCTAGAGCCCCCGACCCTGTCACTGAGGGCGTACAACCGTGTTCCGAGGTGACCGGTGCTGTGCACTGGAGTACCGTGAGACTCCAGGGGTCCCAGCTCCCTGTGCTAACAGCCTATCCTAACAAGGTGAGGTTGGTCTGTGCTCATTGCTGGGGCTCCTACAATGCGTGTTTTCCTTTTCTTCCCTAAGGGCTCCTAGTGCCCTGCATAGTAACCAGACTTTGCTTCTGTTAGGAATGAAGGTGCATTTTACTGAGCGGCAGGGTGTACTGTATTGCTCTTTAAAAATGAATATTGTCTCTAGAATTTGGCACCCCAACTATCCTATCACCATTTTATTTATTATTTATTTTATTTTTACATTTTACACACAATACACATACGTGGAGGTCAGAGGGCAACTTACAGAAGTTGGCTCTCTCCTTCCATTGTGTGTGCACCAGGGCTCAAACCCAGGTGCCCGGGTTTGGTAGCAGGTGTCTTTACCTGTCACGCCGTGTTGCTGGCCCTCCTGCGGACCTCTTACTACAGGAAGTGTCTACTCAGGCTTGAGTGGAGCCGAGGCCGAGCAGACTGAGCACCGGCCGGAGGACTTCAAGGGCTGCTGCGCTGTCTGTGTCCTTGCTCTCCTCAGGCTGCTGCCTTTTATATTCTGCATCTGACCCAGCAACCCTCCTTGGCCTTGTGGCTTGGTAATAAAGAACCAAGCTAGAACACCGTCACACTTAGCTCAGAAACCGCAACAGAGGGTAAATGACTGCTGGTTTTATTGGAGCGTTAAAAACTTTTGAGTCAGCCAGGTGTGGCGGCTCACGCCTGTAATCCCAGCATTCTGGGAGGCAGAGGCAGGTGGATCACTTGTGAGTTCAAGGCCTGGTCTGCAAAGTGAGTCCAGGACAACAAAGGCTACACAGAGAAACCCTGTCTCAAAAGAAAAATTTTTAATCATTAGTCATAGCTTTATATATAAGCTGCCCTCCAATTTTTTTTTTTTTTCCTACATTTAAAATACAGTCATTCAGAATCTGTCATGCCTGAGATCTTTTTGTTTGGTTTTGTTTTTTTGAGACAGGGTTTCTTTGAGTAGCCTTGGCTGTCTTGGACTCTTGTAGATCAGGCTGTCCTTAAACTCACAGAGATCTGCCTGCCTCTGCCTCCCTGAGTCCTTTTGATTAGGGTAATTTCATATAAAATCATACAGATAAATGGCATTAAATGTTAACAAATTTGGAAGATGGTAAAACACAGCTAAGGTAATTATTTTCAGTTATTCTTAATGTTTTCTTTTATGAGGCATAGCTTTCAAAAGACAAAGTAGGTCTAAATATATGGTTGTGTGTAGAGCCCTTGCCCAGCATGTGCAGGAAAAAAAGCATGCTTTGCTTTTAGGACAGCAGGACTCTGGCCGTAAAATCCAGGGCAAAGAGCCAGTAAGGGGGCCTGGTTGTTTACGCATGCTTCCGCTTTTTGTTTAGAAGCGCTGTCGGAAGATGACCTGTTGAGTCAGTATTCCTCATTTTCAAAGAAGACCAAGAAAACCAGCTGTGGGGATGGCACACCGTCCGACTCTTCTGAAACGTCTGCACCTGCCTCGGAATGCGGGACTGTTCACAAGACAGATGCACACACCCCCTCCAGGACAAGGAATAAGTTCGCAACACTTTTACAGAGGAAGAATGAAGAAAGCGGTGCTGTTGTAGTTCCAGGGACCAGAAGCAGGTAGAGCGGTTTCTGAGCGCCGTTTAAGCTAGGTGCATCATTACTTGCGAAAGCCTACTGCACGCCGATTTCCTTAGTTGCCTTCTATTTGTTCCCTTTGCTGTTGTTGTGACCAAAAAGTATCATGGGGAAGGAAAGGTTTGCTTTACGTCACATTTCAAGAGTACATCACGTCTGTGGAAAGGTGTCAGGAGCAGAAGGCAGCTGGTCACATTGCACCGTCAGTTAGGAAGAGGAAGGCAGTGACCGCCGTTGCCCAGCGCTCTGTCTCCCTGGTATTCAGTTCAGAACTCTAGCCATGAAACGCTGCCGCCCACATGCAGGGTGAGTCTTCATCAGCCTCAGCCTAAGCCGGAAGAGTCTCATGGTGTGCCCAGCAGCTCACTTCCTAGGTGATTCTAGCCCATGTCAGTCACCAGACCAGACTGCGGTGTAGTTCCCTTCCACTCTGGTTAGTTCTGTCATCTATCTGTGCAGAATCAAAGTACAAAAGGACTATGGCAGACACACTGTGGTTGGAGTTCAGCTCTGCTACAGTTCTCTTCCTTTTCCATTGTGTTGGTATAATATTCTTTTGACATGTATACACCTTACCCTTGTTCATTCAAATGCCGATTTCTCTCCTCCACTCTCTGGTTTCAGTCTGGACATTGCATTGTGATTCTAAGCATCACTTGTCTCAACTTTGTGTAAACATGTCAAAATAAAGCAACTAGCCACAAGGTTGAGCAATAGAAAGACAGGAAGAGAGGGAGGAGCCAGAGGACAGGAAGGTGGGAGGCAGAGAAGGGCAGATGACAGCTGGGAGAACAGAGGCAGAAGCAGAGATCTTGGAGAGACGTGGAGAGATGGACTGGACCTAATATATCACTAAAAGCAAATATAATGTGGGAAATCTAAATGTTAGGAAACTGAGTTTTTAATCCCAGAACTTGAGAGGCAAGAGCAGGCAGATCTCTGAGTTTGAGGCCAGCCTGGTCTATATGGGTTTTCCAGGACAGCCAGTACTATGTAGAAAGACCTTCTCTTGAAAAACAAAGCAACGCAAAAAAAAAAAAAGAAAGAAAAAAAATAGACTTTAAGCCTCAAAACCCCTTGTGCTCTTTATGTATGAGAGTAAATAAGTGAATCTCAATAGATTTGTGAGTAGACCCTGAAATACTTAAGATGATCTATTCTTTCTGTTCCTTGTTAGGTTTTTTTGCAGCTCTCCAGATTTTGATGACTTCGTACCCAAAAAAGCAAGCAGTCAGCATCTAAATGAAACAGCTGTCACAGGCAAAGCCATCACCAGTCTCGGAGTATCAGACTGTTCAGACATGGAAGGCCAGAAGCCAGTTGACACAAGTGGGACACACAGTCCAAGTGCTCAGATTCCAGGCAATGCCACTGTGTCTCCTGATGGAAAGGCTCAGCCTTCTGAGACCAGCAAATTCACGGGGAACGTGTGCCCGCCCACTCCGGGGACACTAAGAGGTTGTTTCAGTTGGTCCAGAACTCTTGGGGAATTTTCGAGAACTGCAAGTCCTTCGACAAGCACTGCATTGCAGCAGTTCCTAAGGAAGAGCGAGTCCCCCGCCTGTCTTCCCAAGATCTGTGCCGTGACTGACAGGTGTCATTCAGAGAGTGAGGTGTCAGGTGATAAGTCTCAGCCCTTGCATGAGGCGGGCAGGGCCTCACAGTCTCTGGAAAGCATAGACTCACCATGCAGTTTAAACGCATCGACCCTTTCCCAGCCCTCCAGTAAGGATTCGGATTCAGAGGTGAGTCTGTTTCTGAAGTCTTGGTTTTCAGACTCAAACACGGGGAAATGGGGTGTTGATCAGACAGTGAGGAAGTTTTTACCAATTTATATTCAAAATCCTTCAGTGTTTGGGGCTGAAGAGAAGAGAAGGCTCAGTGTTTAAGAGCACTGGCTGCTCTTCTGGTGGACCTGGGTGCTCACAACTGTCTAAAATTCCACTTCCAGGAGATCTAACACCCAAACACAAACATGCATACAGGCAAAACACTGGTGCACATGAAAGTTTTTAAACGTCATTTTAAAAATTCTCCGGTGTAGAAAGTTCATGTCATTCACTTGAAGGGCCTCTTCATGCTTTCTATGCCTGGACACGTAGACTAGCACTTCCTGTGTGCCGCCTGCTCCACTGACTGGACTGTCCTCGCACAGTTGTCCTCTAAGCAGTGAAGCCTATGAAACGTATTGTTACTCTACGTTTGCTATTAATGTAAATTTTAACTCTGATTGCATTTTACGGCTATAAAGAAATGGCTATGTTAAGTGTTTTTAACATCTTAGTACTTCAGAAACAGTTTCCCATTTTGTTTATTTGTATGATTTTTTGTTTGTTTGTTTTGAGACAGGGTCTCTCTGTGTAGCCCTGGCTGTCCTGGAGCTCACTTTGTAGACCAGTCTGGCCTCAAACTCAGAGACCCACCTGCCTCTGCCACCCAAGTGCTGGGAGGCTGAGGCATTGCCACCAGGACCGGTTTCCTTATTCTAAAAATTTCTAGTGAACTTCTTTATAATAAAATAGCAACATTTTGTTTGAAACTTTAGAAGCGTGTAATCCTTTTACACATATAAAACATTTTTTATTCTTACTTTGATTTTTGTTTGCTTGTTTGTTTTGTTTTTGGGGGGTGGTTTTGTGGTTTTTGTTTGTTTGTTTTCCTAGACAGTGTTTCTCTGTGTAACCGTGGCTGTCCTAGACTTTGTAGAGCTGGCTGGCCTTGAACTCTCAGGGATCTGCCTGCTTCTGCCTCCTGAGTTACTTTCGGTAACCTGGGTTACTTTGATTTCTTTTTTATTTCTGTCTTTGATTTTACTGACATCAAAACCTTAACTGAATATCGCTCATAAATAAGTAAGTGACATATTCTGAAAGAGTGTAATGGCTTCTTTGAATTTGTCAGCTCAGAGTTGCTAGTACTGTCTTATCTTCACCAAGTGTAATTACCAAGTTGTAAGAACAGTTAATTCACAGTAATATTTGGCAGAACTTTGGTGCCTGACAATACTGAATATTGAGTGGTGTGTAATGGGCCCATATAGCTTCAGAAAATACTCACTCTGCCAGCCCAGCCATCAAGCTACCTGAAAATCATTGAAACGTCCTTGGAGTCAATCAGCCTGGCAGTGGTGGTGTTCACTTAAGCTCATCACCCAGGTGGCAGAGGCAGGTGGATCTCTGAGTTCTAGGCCTGCCTGGTCTACAAATCAAATTCTAGGACAGCCAGGGCTATACAGAGAAATCTTGTCTTAAAAAAGCCAAATCGAGGGGGTGGGAGAGCACGTTAAAATGTGGGAATAAATTGTTTCTACTTGGAGAAAACGGAAATCAGTTTACGTATTTGGATTCTAAGCCTGTCCTGTTGACACTCTTCAGTGTTTTAGGAGCTTGCCAAGGCTGCCATGGGCTGCCATTGGCTGCCACAAGACTTCTGGCTTTTGTTTCCCTTTATCTTATTTCTTTTTTAAAAAATTAGATTATTTATCTTCCAAGCATGCATATATATATGAGTCTGGCATGTGCCCTGGTGCACAAGAAGGAATCAGGGGACAGACCGTGGGAGAGCTGGCCCTCTACCATGTCCTGGGGGTTGGACTTGGGTTGCCAGGCCCTGCCTTCAGCTGCCTCATGTGGAATACTGTCCCGTGACTTGGAAGTCTTTGTTTCATTCAACATGTACCTTCACTACTTGCGTGGCACCTCTTAGGACCATCTGAGTGACCAGGACAGTTGCCCGATTTTCCATAGAAGCAGGGCTGTTTGGAGGGCATTGTGAGCCTGCTGAGCCCTGTGGGGATGGGGAGCTTATTTTCCTTCCCCCAGACAAGCCTTCTGTCTCACTTTGTGAGCTCTCAGCTGAATGATGACGTCCTCAGCAGCTCACAGGCTGTGGCTGCTCATACTGAGAGCCAGTCTGTCTTCTGGGATAAATATCTTCTACCCTCAGGTGGTGTTAAAATAGGGACCTAGCCAGGGTTGAGGCTGCACACCCATAATTCTAGCCCTTGGGACGCTAAGGCGGGAGGATCATGAATTTGAGGCCTCTGGGATACATAAAACTATTTCACAAAACTAAAAAAGGAAAAAAAAAAATAGTAACTTTCTTTCCACACAAAAAGCTAAGTGATATTTATTGAATATCTTCTTTCCATTACATATGGAAAGATGGTTAATGCTCAAAAAGTTTAATTCATATAGTTAGGCATAGTATTTCTTTGATTTACAAATGTTTCCAATCCACAACAGTTGTTTTGCTTTTATTTGTTTTTTCTGTCTTTTAGGATTTGTTTTGAATATCAGTTTTCATTGTATACTTCTAAAGTGCTTCAGTCTCAAAGCCTTTGGTGGAAAGTTCACTGTTAAAAGGCAGCCACTCACCAACCAGAGTCTAAGTAATCTCAGAATCTTGCCAGTATTGTAAGAAACTGTTCAGCCAGTTGGGCACAACGCAGCTCTATAACCTCAAATGTTGAGAGTTGCAAATTTGGCCACATCCTGGGCTACACGCCGATATCCTGTTTGAAAAAGAAATCATTTAAGATGGTGTGATGGTGTATACCCGTAATCTCTGAAATTAGGAAGCAGAGTGGGAAGGCTTCTAAGTTTGAAGCCAGCTTGGTGTATGACATGAGTTCCTGCCCATTTGGGGCCGCAGAGCAAGAGACCTTGTTTCCAAGAAAACCAGTACTGTTAGCTACAGCAAAGAAATGTGACTCTGTAAGGCACAAGGCTGTCTTGTCCTGTGTTGAGTATGTGATACAGTATGGAATGCCAAGAGAAATTCAGGAAACCTCTTAGAGAAATGCAAAGTGCCACCTCCCGTTCCTGACCTGCCTGTTTGCTGTATGGAGTAAACACTGAGGGAAGTCTGACTCTGTGTGGACAGTCTTGTGAACAGAAGTTAGGCAGAAGGAGTCCCCAGGGTCACTGCTAAAGTTAAATGAGCGTTTGACACAGCACCTCAGACTGGGCCCATCTTGAAGGAAGATGCATTTTTTTCCTTTTCAGTGTTGACCGTTTTACAACACAGCTAGTTGATAGAGATAGTGGAACTGCTGGTTCAGCTTTCTGTAGTCAGTGACTTAGAGCTGTTGCCAGGGAGCATGGATCCTGTTACAGCCTCTGCAACAGCGTGTCTGCTTTATTTTAGTCTTTGAGAATCTCATACACACAAGGAAATATGGTCAGGTAGACCCTTCCTGCCCCTCTATTGCTCCTTCTTTTCCACCCAGCACCTACTGCTCCTAAATGCATGTCTTCTTTGTTTTGTAACCCAATAAATACAATTAGTGCTTCCCATGTGTGCGTAGGTGTGGGCGGGCACCTCCCACACGTGTGTAGGTGAGGGGCCATGCACTGGAGCATGGAAGGCCCTAGTAGTCACAGCCTGAAAGGGTGACTCTCCCTCCCATGCAAGCTGCCACCTGCCAGTATCTTCTCAGGAGAGGGAGGGGTTGGGCCTGGAGATCATTTCACACGTGTGTGGGAATTTCAGCTGCCGTGGTTTATGCGGACAGCTCTGTGAGTTCATGTGTGCAGTCGCCACACCAGGTCCAGACAGCGTTCCCCAGCATTCCCTGTCCTCCAGCTTTCTGCCTCCACTTCCGAGGTGTTTCTTGACCCTTGGCAGGGCTGAGAAAAACACCCCATTCAGGGCTAAGCATTTTGACATGCTCCTGAAGGGACAGAGAAAAAGCTTTCAGGATCATAGTGTATTTTTATAGGATAAATGTCTTGGTACTCTTTTCAGTGAAATTGAGAAGTATCTTTTCCATTTTAATTCATTGTCTCTTATTCTTTCCCGTGTTTTTATATCTTTTTGTGAAATTATGTTATTTACCTGAGTTCTCATTTTACATGTTGAGTATTGGTTGAGTTATCCTAAAAACTCAAGTAGATGTTTGTTTTCCGTCTGGGTAATCTAGGAATCGGATTGTAACAGTAAGTCGCTTGATAATCAAGAAAATGAGAGCACCAAGCAACAGTTGCCTTCCTTCTCAAAGAAAGATGTACTTGGAAGGAACAAGGTAAAACATTTAAAATCATTATTCTCTTAATTTCAGAAGCAGTGTTATTGCCAAACAAATGAGAAATACACACAAAAATTGAAAATTAAAATACCGGTGTTCCTAATTTTTTTTGTTTTTTGTTTGTTTGTTTTGTTGAGATAAGGTTTCTCTGTAACAGCTCTGGCTGGCCTTGAACTCACCTACCTCTGTCTCCAGAGTGCTAGGGTTAAGGGCATGTGCCACCACCACCTGTCTTGTGTTCTGATTTTTTATTTTCAGACTTCTTCAGACAGCATGTATGTATGACTGAGATTACTCTGAGAACAAAGCTCATGAGTGAGTGACTAGTCCTAGGGTGAGAGTGCTTTGCTGTGTATTGCCAAAAGCTACGCACTGTGCACCCAGGCAGAGCTGTGGGGTTCTGTTTGTTTAGCTACTGACTTTTATGTGGACTCTGCCAGATTAATCAGTTTTAAAGACTTGTTCACACACTTCCCTCTCTGTCCTGAGAAACAGTGTTACTGTGTACAGGACAAAAATCAGCTCTTAAAGGCTCAGTGTGCTGGCATATACCTTTAATCCCAGAACAAGGGAAGAAGAGGCCGGAGGATCTCTGTGAATTCCAGGAGAGCCAGGACAGTGTGGAGAGACCCTGTCACAAACAAACAAATCAGCCATTAAGTAGAAACAAAAATATCAAGGGATTTAAATCGCCTATGCTACGTTTCCACAGACAAACTTACTCAAATATAATTCAGTTTCAGCTTGAAATGCAAGAGTCTCTAAGATGTAAGTGGGACCAAAGGGAAAAGAAGCAATAACTGATTGTTTCTAGGAGTTAAAGGCAGTTCTTTTAGAGCCCAGAGTTAAAACTGGCGTTTGGGGAAGCCCACACTCCCATGTCTAACAAACAACATAATACTAACAAAAACTCCAATTTATCTTCAGGTTCCTGGTCTTTGTAGGTCTAGCTCTACAGACTCTCTTTCTACAACCAAGATCAAGGCCCTGGTGCCTGCCAGGGTCAGTGGCCTGAGCAAGAAGCCGGGAAGCATCCTGAGGAGAAAACACAATGACACCGAGAACAAGCCAGGGCTACAGATAAAGATCAGCGAGCTCTGGAAAAGCTTTGGGTTTAAGAAGTGAGTTCCCTGGTTCCTTTTCTGAAGCAAGACGGAGCTCTGTCTCCTGTAGCCCCATCCCCCTTTCTGCTTTCATAGATGCAGCTTCTGTTTCTCACCTTCAGCGCCCAGTCCAGCTCAGAGCTGCTTTTCCAGACAGGAAGTTCTTTTTCTTCTCATTGCTCAGGACTGGAATGAGAAGAGGTTAGGCGGGAGCTGAGAGGGGGTCTGCACTGTACTTCCTTTCGTTTCTAGGTGGTTAACTGTAACCAAATGTAACCACATGCACCCAGTGTTTGGGCTCCAATCATGTTTTAGGAATGTGACTGGTTCTAGAAGGCAGAGTTTGGGACCTGCTAAAGCTTCCTAAAGCAGCAGCTGTCTAGTCCTGTTTATTTGCAGTGTTCCCACTCGGGCCAGCTCTTAGGACAGACATTTGGTTTACTGAGAAATCCAAGAAACTTAACTGTAAACTGGTGTTTCTCTGGCTGACATTGAAACCTAACACAAGGAAAGTGTGCCTATAGGAAGAGTCCGTTTGTTACAGTGTTTTTTACAGACATTGAAAATCTGAAGAAGGGCTGGAGAGGTGGCTTCCTTAAAAGCACTTGCTGCTCTTTCAAAAAACCTGAGTTCAGTTCCTAGCTCCCTGTACTCAGGTTGAGCAACTCACCACCGCCTGTTACTAACTCCATCTTTCAGGAAGTACTACGTCTTTTGTAGCCTCTGGACCACATACTTAGACACATACACATAATTAATAATAAATTCTTTTTCTTCAAAAATTTTTTAGCATTAAATAAATTTAAAAGAAATGGGCTTGGGGGAGGCGTGCAACATTTTAGTGGTTAAGAACACTGGCTGCTTTTCCAGAGGTCCTGAACTCAATTCCCGGAAACCTCATGTTGGCTCACTTATCTATAGAAGGATTTGATGCCCCCTTCTGACATGTCGGTGTACCTGCAGATAGAGCATGCCTACATTTAAAAAAAAGTAATTAATTAAGAAGGAAAAATGGCCTTTAAGCCTAGAACTCAGGAGGCAGAGGGAGACAGATCTCTGAGTTGGACCAGCCTGGTTGTACTGAGTTTCAAGACAGCCAGGAATTGACACAGAAACTGTCTTGAGAAAAATCCAAAGCAAACAAATAAAGAGCCATTGAGTAGCTCATTAGTATGCTCACACCTCCAAGCCTGCTGTCCGAGTTTGATCCCGGGGCCCATGTGGTTGGAGGAGAGAATCAACCCCGGTAAGTTAACCTCTGACCTTCGCACATGCCACATGGCATAGACGTCATATGAATGATAAAAGTATGCCAGTAGATTTAGATTTGTGGAAAGCCCACTGTTAGGCTGCGTATCTGACTGAGTGGCTGAGAACACTTGCTCTGCCAGTATGAGGGCCTGAGTGTGAATCCCCAGCATCCACTTATAAAATCCAGGTATAGCTGCCTGACCTGTGACCCCAGCACTGGGAGATGGAGACAGGCAGATCCTGACAGCGTGGCTGAAACACCTGACCTTCTGGTTCAGCAAGAGGTCAGGCTGGCCTCAGACTTCGAGAAATCCACCTGCCTTTGCTCTTCCATGCCCAGTGTGGCTCTGGCTGCCCTGGAACTCTCTGTGTAGACTAGCTTCACCTCACAGACACCCTTCTGCCTCCGCCTCCGATGGGATTAAGTAGACCCCTGTGGCTGTTGGCTTGCTTACAGTGCCTTATGTGTAGGTGCTGGGGACAGGTGGGTACTACTGGGTGCTGGGTGCCGGGTGCCTGCTGTTGGCCCTCACGCTGAGTTTGGTGGCAGCTTTTACTGAAATCTGCTTTGGCATTTATTGGTACAAATGTCAGCACAGTGGGAAAGGTAAATATTATGAAAATAATTTGATCTCACAAAGCTCCTAGGAGGGACTTAAATCTCCAGGGTGTATAGAGCTTATAAAACTGGTGTTAGAAGAAATCAAAGTTACAATAGTATTCTTTAAAAGATCTGTTGGAAAAAAATGACTTAGTGACGTTTAATTTTTGTTTAGAAGAGACTTCATAATAGGATTTTTAATGGGTGTAGATCAAGAGTCCAGCAGAGGAACCTTGGTTAAAATATATATATATATATATATATATATATACAGCTCAACTATTAGCCTTAATCTATTTATATTTGTCCTTAGCCCAGCTTGAAGGAGACTATTAAAATGCACACCTTTAATCCAGCACTTGGGAGGCATTGGCAGGAGAATCTGAGTTCAAGACCCAGCTGGTCTACATAGCTCGTTCTAGTTCAGCCAGGACTACACAGTGAGACCCTGCCTATAAATATTCCATATATATACATATAGGGAATGTGTATATAGGAATTGACATAGACTACACTGTACAGCGTGTCTGTGCCCCTGTTTTTTCCACTTAGGTTATTGCTTCTCTTAGAGTACCTAAAGTCACATTTGTTTTACTGTTTTTTTGCAGAGATTCTGAAAAGCTTGCTTCTTGTAAGAAGCCTCTGTCTCCAGTCAAGGACAACATCCAGCTCACTCCAGAGACAGAAGATGAGATCTTCAACAAGCCCGAGTGTGCACGTGCTCAGAGAGCAATATTCCACTAAGTGCAGGCCGCTGCCACAGGAAACTCTTATCAGTTGGAGAGATTTGTTATTCTCGGTGCCGTTTTTAAAATGGAATACATTTTGTATATTAACTTTGACTTTCTTTTGCTCAGCTTTTTATATTTTCATAGAAAGCTAAATATAAGAATAAAACTGTCTTTGACACTTCTGGGAAGTTTAAATGCTAACTTGGTATATCTGATGGCTATAACAATCTAAAGCATTTTCGAACATCTTGTATATTATAAGTAGAAAGCTACAGATATTCGTAGTCACTTAGACCCAAGAATAGATGATTCACCAGCTTTCTGTTGTTCTGCTGCCTTTCCTGTCTGTCCTTTAAGGGTAAACTAGAAATAATGGTGCTGGCATGGGGCTCTCTATGGGGCTGCCCTTGTTAACATGCTTAGTTCTCAAAGCTGCTACCTGCTTTTCTCAGTGTATCTCTGAAGTGTGGCCCAAAAGTTCTTTAGCAAATTTTACTTAACCCTGTGCAAGACTCTGTAGCTGCAAGGGCCTGTGCAAATATACAGGCAGAGGTCTGGAAGGAACCAGCCCCACCCCAGGGCCAATCTGATACAACCAGAAGGAGAGGGATAATGAAGGCCTTTATGATTCAGAGGCTAGATGAGAGACCACGACTTATAATCCTTAAAGGGGAATGGGGGTGGGGGGTGGGGGCAAACACAATTGGATGAATCTGGAAAATACCTAATCTGAAGATGAGATTAGAGCCCCCTGTGAGCATTTCTGTCACTGAACATGTCAGGAAGCAAGTGAATGTGCTATAGATGCACAGTGGCTGGCAGCAGAGGAGACGCAGGAAAGATGAGGTGGGAAGGAGGGGAGGGTTCTCTATTGGCAGCAGCCGAGAGGTACATGGGCTCGAGACAGAGGGGGAAGGCAGTGCCAATGCCACCTTTACAGTCTCCACGTCACCGCACAGTGCCAGCCCCATTAACCACTGATCTTAACAGAGAATCCCTGTCTCCAAATCCCAGTAATAATAATGATAAATAATAACAATCTCCATCTTGCATTACATAAACCACACATGAAGGTACACACTTGCATTTCCCACCTGGGAGTTTGGGGCTACATGCTGAGTTTAAAGCCAGTTTTTGAGATCCTGCCTTTTTTTTTTTTTTTTTTTTTTTTTTTTTAATGCATGACCAAAGAAGAGAAAAAAGGCCTCAGGGAGTTGTCTTTCCTGGGTTCACTACTTAAACAAGTTCTCTCATATCTACACATTGGTTTCCTGGGTGTCACTGGAACAAAGGCCCCGGCTTTACCAGGTTACAAATCTATGAACTCCCTGGTCCCATGCTCAGCTCCAATCAACAAAAGCTCATTCATAGCTTATAGATAACAGGTTCTGTACTGGACTTGGAAAGGGTGGGGTGGTGTATTCAGAGGAGACTACTCAGTCAGGGGTTTAAGCCAATAGAAAGTATTAGTCAGCCGGTGACTACAGTGTTCAGGATCATGGTGTAGCACCGAGCCTTTCTCAGGGTGCGCTTTTAATTCAAAACAATTCGGTTAAGAACATTTAGCCAGAATCAGAGCTGTAGAGGCCAGAAAGTGAGGTTAGTGCATTTAGGAAACTATGGACTAGGATGGTTTAGGCCTTTGTTTTAGTTTTGGCAGGTGGTGCTATCTATGTGCTGAGTTTTACAGTATGACTGTAACTTCCATCATGGTAACTTCCATCAGCTGTGCTAAGGGGCTGGGAGTGGGGGCTACTACGGTCTGGGACCCTGTTACAGGCAAAAGGATTGAGCGCAGCCTCTGTCCTGTAGTGCCCAGATGTAGCTAACCTGTGGCCCTCTGAGTGCCTGTGACTAAGGAGAGCTATGAATGCCGCCCAATACAAAACTATATGCTTTAAATACTGTGGGCAGGCCGATAGTTGAGTTTGAGGCCAGCCTGGTCTACGGAGTGAGTTCCAGGACTGCCAGGGATACACAGAGAAATTCTGCCTCAAAACAACAACAACAAAAAAAAACCCCTGAGATTTGTGTGTGTATGTGTGTGGTTGCTTTTTCTGTAACCTTTTGGGCAGTTTGACCTGTTGCAATGTACACACCTGTGTGAAAGGTGCTTGAGTTTTGTCAAAAGTCATACACTGGGGTTGTGAGATGGCTCAGCAGGCAAAGGCTCCTGTCACCAAACCTGAGGGCCTGAGTTACACTGTAGAAACCCACAAGGCAGAGGAGAGAGATGAGTCCTGAAAGTTGCACTCTGACCTCCATACATCTACCATGGCATGTGAACGCACCTATCCACAGTAGAACTACATGGGAGGAAAACTATTTAAACAGCTAATCAGGAGTGCACAGTGCTTTGAGGCACTATTTCATACTCTAATCAGCTGTATAGGTGTGACTGGACTTGGTAGCAGCTATAGATTTGGGTCAGCCCTGGGGACACATCCTAAATTCCCTTTCTAGGTGATGGAAAGGAATAAGAACAGCAGAGGGATTGCCCAGAGTGTGTGGTCTCCAGTCAAAGGAGGCTCTTTCCCTTCTACCGTGCTGCTTCCTCATGTGATTTCAGGCTAGTTAAGTTGCTGGCTCAGCCTCACCTTTCAGGTCTGTAAACTGGCTTGTTAGGTGGTGTCTTAGGGTTGCTGTTGCTATGATGAAACACCACGGCCTAAAAGCAAGTTGGGGAGAAAACGGTTTATTTGGTTTACATTTCTATATCACTGTTCATGACTGAAGGAATTTAGGGCAGGAACCTGGAGGCAGGAGCTGATGTAGAGGCTATGGAGGAGTGCTGCCTACTGGCTTGCTCAGCCTGCTTTCTTACAGAACCCAGTGTCATCAGCCTAGGGATGGCGCCACCTAAAATGAGCATCAATCACTAATTAAGAAAATGCCTTACAGCTGGATTTAGTTTTGTTTTTTTTTGTTTGTTTGTTTGTTTTGTTTTGTTTTGTTTTGACAGAGTTTGTGTGTAGCTTTGGCTGTCCTGGAACTCACTCCATTGACCAGGCTGACCTCGAACTCAACACAGATCCACTTTCCTCTGAAGCTGTCTCTGCTGGGATCTCCAACCCATTTCATCCCCGTTAAGTTTGAAGCCACAAAGAGTCTTTGTCCTAACTCAGCAGTCACCTTGGATTTGGGGAACCCCAAGGCCTGGCAGGCTAGGGCAAGCAGTATGGAGTGGAGAAAATGATTAAAAATGACTAGGGCAGGCTGTACTGTAGAACTGCTCATCTCACAGGCCTCGGATTGTCCCTTCAGGCAATGATAGCAACTCAGAAGTGAAGCAAGTTTGTTTGTTTGTTTGTTGAGACATGGTTTCTCTATGTAGCCTTGGCTGTTCTGAACTGCTTTGTAGGTCAGGCTAGCCTCTAACAGAGACCCACCTGTCTCGGCCTCCCAAGCACTTGGATTAAAGGCGTGCACCTCCACACCTGTCTATTTGGTTTGTTTGTTTTGAGGCCAAGCCTTTCCATCCTAATCTGACCTCAAACTTGCTGTGCAGCCCAAGGATGACCTTGAACCTTCTGATCCTCTGAGCTAATAGACAACATCTCATAGAGACCACTTGAGCTGAGGCAGGGATAGATGGGACTATACACTGACCAGGACTAATTATATACAGTCTTGCTCCAAAGCCCAGTTCTTCTCTAAACCTAAAGCCAGGTGGGGAGAAAGGGAATGTAAGGTCCTTCAGATGCTGTTACTTTCCCGGGCAACATTTGAGACTGGCTTCCTCCCAGACAGTTTGTGTGGTCAGGGGCAGCTAATACGCCTCTCCTGCAGGCAGCAGGAGCTTCCCCTGCCCAGCCTCAGCCTGAAGCCACAAAGTGGAGAGACATAATGCACCTGAAGACATGAGAACGGGAAGTGATAACTCTCCCCAGAAAGAGATGGTTACCTGAATACCTGAGAAGCCTTCCCTCGGCACGTGGCTTGTGGGTCTTCACTGCTCAGCTGAACATCAGAGCAACATTTTTTTCTATCCCCTTTCCCATCTCCTGTCCGCTCTCCCAGACACTCATTTCTCCCTTTCTCTCTGGGCCCAAGCTGGCCTTCATCTGGGATGGCAGCTTCGTGCCACCACACCTGGGAAGAAAGGTTTCCAAGAATCATCGTACTAACATGTAACGTTGCCTTACCACCCAAGCTGCATTCTGAGATAGTGTTTCATTCATGTCCAAGCACAGAATCTGAACATCAAGTTCTTAAGAAAACTGTTAGCGAAACAAAATTAGCATCCCAGGCTGCCTGGATCCAAATACTGCATCATAGGAGGAGCAGCTAAAGGATGGCTGTTGGTATTAGGATGGAGATGGAAGACTGCAGTTGGAAGGCAAGTACAATAATAGTCTCTTCATTTCTCCTACCCCAAAACATATATTTATCATGTATTCTGGCTCCTCAATTTTTTTTTTATCTCTTTATTTTACGTTCATTCTTTTTCTGCCTGCATAGGTGTCTGTGAGAGGGAGTCAGAGCCCCTGGAACTGGAGTTACAGAACTTTGTGAGCTGCTAAATGGGGGCTGGGAATTAATTAAATGCAGGTCCTCTTGAAGAGCGGCCGGTGCTCTTAACTGATGAGCCATTTCTCCAGCCCCAATAGCTCAACTCTTTTTTTTGTTGTGGTTGTTGTTATTATTTTCAACATAGATGTTCTCTGTGTAGCCCTGGCTATCCTGGAACTTACTCTGAGGAAAAGTCCGGCCTCAAACTCATCAAGATCCATCTGCCTCTGCCTCCCAAGTGCTGGGATTAAAGGTGTGTGCCACTGCCAACAGCTGCAGCTCAACTCTTAATCCTTGTTGGGATCCATTGATTTTTCACTCTCTCCTAGCAGTCCCTTTCCTTCTGCAGGCTTTTCAGTCAACCTTCTGACCACTCTTACCTGGAACTTTGTTTAGTTTCGCTTGCTTGACCACACATCTAGTGACTATGGCTGGAGAGATGGACAACTGTTCCCAAAACCAGTTGCATTGCCTTTTTCCAGCTGACCACCAAGCATCCAGCTTCTCTGGTATCTTCACTCCCATGGAACTGTTACTTGTGGTGTTTTCCTTCTTATCTTTGCTGTTGGCAAAGCCCTGCTTCCCGTTTTATTGAGGTTAAATTTAG